TTGTTAGATCCATGCATAAAGATTCAGACCGACAAAAACCTCACTGTTAGACCATATGTCATGAAGGATGATATTGAAATTCCAAAAGTCAACATTCTGTTCATGTAGAGCAATATACCAGCAGCTCCAGCTTTTGATGCCTATATTTCATAACGTTTGATGCACAATCGAGCATGCTCTTTCAACCTAGATAGCAAAGAGTCTCATACGACTCTTGCTCAGAAGTTGTTTGATCAGGGTCACAACATTCAAGGCATTACTGACGCTTTCAAAACGTTTTATGGCAGATGATGAAAAGATGATGTCTGATGCATTTCCTGTTTTGACTTTTACCATTTGTTCTCTTGTTTTTTTATGGAAACAGTTGTCGTGCCTTTGCACGTGTTTGTGTAGGGTGCCACCGGCGTGGCAGGTTACGCTCACTTTTTTGCGAGCAACCGGTATTATCACTGATTCATAAACACATCAATATATTTTAAAGTACGCCACACGACTCTGTCTCAAATGTTAAAACAGTTCCCCTTTTCGCGCAGACCTGGTATCATCTCTATTTGATAATGATTTATAAACACATGCTCATGATATAATCGGAATCCCACAACTGAATCTGCAAATTGTTTTGTCGCTTTTACTAACACGCCCATCGCACGTTGTGAAACCGATGAAACCGACGAACACTGGTAGGGTGCCACAAACCTAGAAACACAATCAAGGCAAACAGGGACTGGAACACAAGTTGGTAGGTTTCTGGAACGCCCGAGAGAGGCTTTTTGGGCTAGAGCCACCAGGATTGCTGTCATGATGGTGTCCCCAAATTGCAATGAATCAGACAAAACTTGAGAACTATGTCACGGACTAATGTTTCATGATTATATAAAGACAATATTGATATAAGTAATCAGCTTTCACTTTCCAATTAAAGAACAAATGTATAAATTGTAGTTGAGAATTGATCATTTCAGTGAGTTTGGGGTACATGTACTCATCGTCATTATTAAAGGGTCACGTTGATAATAAGAAACTTTCAAGAATGCAGTTCTTTTGCATCTGGAATGAACCATTTTGTACCCACATTGACCTTCACTTGTCCTGTATTGTCATGGGCTAAACCACTGGTGGCGTTCAAGCTTGTGGTGTGGGAAGTTTTTTCCATCACTTTAAATCTTCCACTTTTCACTGATTGTAATATATAATCAATTAATCAATCAATATTTTGTATTCTCAATACTGAAAGGTCACAGGTCACAGTACATATATTACAAAGTACAGGATCAGAGGCTGTACTCTAATTATTTTTAAATTGACATGGCATGATAAATATACATTGATAAGTTACGAACAATATTTGTATTAACTGATTTCATTATAGAAACAAATTAATTTACATTTGGATGAACAAATAAGAACCATTTTAGGTTCATTTTCTCAAGTAACGATATTCAGTACATATCTATAAAAAGTGATATTCATCCTCCCCTGAATCGAGTCAAAGTGATGTTGCAAGACAATTTAACGTCCACAGAAACACCATTTGGTGTTTGTGGCAACGTTGGCAACAGATGAATGCAGTCAGAGACCATCCTCGGAGTGGCAGGCCACGCGTAACCAATAATCGACAAGACAACTGGATTCGAACAACACGCCTACGAAAACGATTACATCCAGCAACAGTGACTGCAAGAAGCATACCTGGCCTTCGACCAATATCTTCACAAACCGTACGTCGTCGCCTCAGATGTGCAGGGATTGTCGCCAGAAGACCCACCAGACGTCCCATTTCGACAGGAAAGCATCGTCAAGCACGTCTACAGTGGTGCAGACAGCATCTACGCTGGACGGCCATGCAGTGGGGACAGGTCTCGTTTACACCTCGTCCACAGCGATGGACGGATTCGAGTGTACCGACGTCGAGGTGAACGTTACGTCAATCATTGTGTCATGGAAGAAGATCGGTTCGGGGGCAGCAGCGTTATGGTATGGGGTGGGCTTACAGCAAGACAGAGGATCCGTTTGGTAGTGGTAGAGGGAAATCTCAATGGACAGCGCTACCGCGACGACATCATCGGCCCTGTTGTTCTACCGTTTTTGCGTCGTCATGGCCCAGGCATTACCTTTCAACATGACAACGCCCGGCCTCATATTGCTCGTCTTGTTCAGGATTCTCTTCAACAAAACAACGTGAATGTCATGCCCTGGCCGGCTCGCTCCCCCGATCTCTCACCAATCGAGCACATGTGGGACGAGATGGATCGGCGCCTTCGACGCCGACCACGTGTTCCACAGACACTCCAGGAACTTCGAAACATGCTCTAGCAGATATGGACAGATATCCCACAGGACTTTGTGCGACGCCTGGTCCATTCCATGAGACGAAGATATGTTGCTTGCATCGCAACCACAGGTGGACACACACGCTATTGATTTGTAATTGATATTTTGGCATGTTCATGTTTTTTTTAATGAAATCACGCATTTTCTGAAGTCAGTATGGCAAATGATACCATTTGAACACTTACAGGAGTCTTTTATATGTTGCAAACCGAAATTAGTTCAGATTGTTCTTCAATTTTTAAACGTATTTGTCAACATACTCAGACCTGTTGACGCGCGGTGGCACATGTTCGTGTTTGACAATCTACATACCTAGGTGACCCTTCAGTGATGATGTTGAGAATATGTTCATATTCCTGTCGCATGACACGAATCAGACGGTTATATAAAATGGGGTTTAACGCCGCGGTCACAATTATTGCACTTACATAACGACGTGCACCAGTTTAACAAGAATACCCTACCTAGACACAGTAACCTCGCGCTCTATCCACTATAGACACAAATCAGAGTGATTCTAAACCATATAACTGGTGTTCAAGTTACATTTGTGGTCCAGTAAACTATGTCTGCATCAAGAATATTAATCACTTCTTGCAGTTGAGTATTATTTATGTACATTAGCGGTTCGTGAATATAGACAAGCTTTTTTTAATTATGTCTAATATTGAGAATTGGGGAACCGCCAATAATTAACAACGCGGGAAGACGGTGGTATTGCTCGTTGTAATCTGCTGTATAAACTGTCTGTGCTGTGCTGGGAATACTGGAAGATGAGTACCAACATATTTTGGTGTACCTTCATTTTACTGCTTTAGTGAGTGAGTGAGTGAGTGAGTATGGTTGTACGCCGCTTTTAGCAATATTCCATCAATATCACGACACCAGAAATGGGCTTCACACATTGTACCCATGTCGGTAATCGAACCCGGGTTTTCGGCGTGACGAGCGAACGCTTTAAACACTAGGCTACCCGACCGCCCCCTCACCGCTTTAAGATAAAAATATATCATTACTAATGAAGATTTATTGGAATAACCCTAATGCGAGTAAATTCAGTATGATATTATCTTGTAACAGGGAGAGTATTTTAATCAAATGTGCCAAGTGTGTGAGAGAGGCTCTTATAATACTAATGTTAAGAAATGTTCATGCGTAAAATTAAATTGCCCCAAATGTCACTGTAAAATACATCCTGCTGAATCTATGTACATTGGCCTTTGGCCTTTATGCCGAATAAAGACAAATTAATAATAAGAGTCCAAATGTAACAGGAGACAAATACATCAAAAGCTTTTCTGTGAACGTTTGACTGGTATTACTTAGACGTTGACGGATGACAAAGTAGACAAAATTTATGGATAACAACTTTTTTATTGTATTGTAATGGAGATGTTCCGGTATTGATCCTTATATCGTTGTCAAGCAAGGCTGAATAATGAACATGGTACAGAATGTATATGGTAGGTGGAGTATTAATAGTAACAACAATTGCATTAGAGATTTACACGACTCTGTTAAGTAATAACAGAAGGATGACACTGTAACAACATGGTGGACAGTATCATCCTACTGTTATTTTACTAAACCTACTCATGTTAATCTTTTATGCAATTGTTGTTACTGTTAACCCTCCACCTACGATAGATGTTCTGTGTCATGTTCATTCTTCAGCCATGCTTGACAACGGTACAAGGATCTGTACCGAAACGTCGCCATGACAGTATGATTAAGTTGTTATCGATATATAGCAACGTGCATGCATGTTTGTGTGTGTAGCTGCTTTTACTAGTCCAGACTTGTGCTAGACCACTGACATACCATGCCGCAATTTAACATGAATATCCCACTCAGGCACAATATACTGACTCGGAGCCGACCAGTCCTTGTTTTATCCCCTTAATTCCGAGACCCAGACAATGTAACAACAAGTACAATCCTTTCACGTCTTTTGATATGACGCGGCTGGGGATCGAACCCCGGACCCTCCGCTCTCTGGGAGGACCCTCTATCACAAGACCACGGAGGCGTTCGCCGCTCACATAAGAGGCGCTAGAGTAGGACACCACTGCGGCATGAACCGTTGTGAGTCGTGGCCTAAGTAAAGGTTCTGGCCAATCATTGACTGCCATGTTCCTTCCATCTGTTTCCCAGATCATGTTGTTCAGTATCAATTGTCTTATTTCATCATTATATGAAGATATCTACAAGCCATTTTTTATCTTTGATGATAAGTATTTTAAAATATTTGACCAGTTGTTAATTTGCATATAAATATAATATAAGTAGTCTCTATGTCGCCACTACATCACATGTTCACGACGAACATCTTAGCCTTGTCCGTACGTCAAGTAATATCCTTTAACGTCAACTAGACAAAACTAGATCTTTTATCAGGATGATAAGAACGTTGCCATAAAAGTTGAACAGGACGTTCGACAAGATGTGTTTTCCTGCTCTTGAAATTGATCAATAGCACATTCATGTTTTTGTCTAACTAAATCTATTGATATTGTTTGTAAAAATATGAATAAAATAAAATACCTCACTAAATATCAATAAAAACAGCTTAAGTGTCATGTGGCGTTTCCCACTGTTATTCTTTTTTCTAGTTGTGAAAATTGTGCAACTAGTTAAAGAACACATATTTTAAAATCTTAATAATCTACCTTAAAGCTCCAACCTCCTGTATCCCACATTGTCAGAAGCTTGGCCGTCAACATGTTCAAAATTCAAAGATGGCGGCTAGTCGCGACGGAAACCTCACAGCAACTGGCCACACACACTACCACAACTCGCGTGTTATCCTAGCTGCATATCACTCCGCGTAAGGATGTCTTGTCCCTGACTTGAGCCTGGAAAGGTATGAATTAATTATGATGCCCTTTCAACAGTTTTGCTCAGAGCAGAACCTGTTTTGGTTTCCTCGTCAAAATAAATATTTCATTACCCTGAGATACAAAGGTATGGATATTATTGCTGCTGCTTGCATCCATTATACTAAGTAAGGATAAGAATTTTGTACTTTTAGCTTACCCCGTCTTGAAAAATACATCACATGTAATTATTAATTCCTATTGTATACAAAACATCAGTCAAAGGCACTACCTGACCAAAGAGAAACCACATGTCCTGTAAGCAGATATCTTTAGCATAAAAAATGGGTCACAGGTATCCTACTAATGCCAAAACACATGACATTTGCTAGAAATGAAAACTCTGAAGCAAAAATCGACATAATTGTAAGCAATCCTTTTATTCACTAAGACTTGTGGTTACCAAGACATGGTATTTATTTACATATTGATCTTAGCGGGTATACCACCTTGATTAATTATTAACGTTTGTGTATGTGAGCTACGGTGATATTGAGATAATCGTTAAAAGAATTGATCTATTTCAAAGTTCTCCGTTCGTTTCCAGTGTTTTCGCTATGTCGAGTTATAATGACTTCTTGTGTCTCGTTTTGGCTCAGCCACTCTAGAATAAAACACCTATCGCGATAGTCTTCAGTACGAAACGCCGTCTGGATTTACAAGGACACATACAATACCTGCATTACAATTAATCACAGTAAGTCCCTTACAGAATTCCAAGTGACATTATATCACATACCTTCAGCAATATACATCGTTTAGGTAGTAGGGCAAATGAATTACACAATCAGGGAAATGAATTACATCCTGACAATCAGGTAAACGAATTACAATCCTGACAATCAGGTAAATGAATTACATTCCTGACAATCAGGTAAACGAATTACATTCCTGACAATCAGGTAAACGAATTACATTCCTGACAATCAGTTTAACGAATTACATCCTGACAATCAGGTAAATGAATTACATTCCTGACAATCAGGTAAATGAATTACATTCCTGACAATCAGGTAAATGAATTACATTCCTGACAATCAGGTAAATGAATTACATTCTTGGCAATCAGGTAAATGAATTACATTCCTCACAATCAGGTAAATGAATTACATTCCTGACAATCAGGTAAATGAATTACATTCCTCACAATCAGGTAAATGAATTACATTCCTGACAATCAGGTAAACGAATTATATTCCTGACAATCAGGTAAACGAATTACATTCCTGACAATCAGTTTAACGAATTACATCCTGACAATCAGGTACATGAATTACATTCCTGACAATCAGGTAAATGAATTACATTCCTGACAATCAGGTAAATGAATTACATTCTTGGCAATCAGGTAAATGAATTACATTCCTGACAATCAGGTAAATGAATTACATTCTTGGCAATCAGGTAAACGAATTATATTCCTGACAATCAGGTAAACGAATTACATCCTGACAATCAGGTAAATGAATTACATTCCTGACAATCAGGTAAATGAATTACATCCTGACAATCAGGTAAACGAATTATATTCCTGACAATCAGGTAAACGAATTACATCCTGACAATCAGGTAAATGAATTACATCCTGACAATCAGGTAAATGAATTACATCCTGACAATCAGGTAAATGAATTAAATTCCTGACAATCAGGTAAATGAATTACATCCTGACAATCAGGTAAATGAATTACATTCTTGGCAATCAGGTAAATGAATTACATTCCTGACAATCAGGTAAATGAATTACATTCCTGACAATCAGGTAAATGAATTACATTCTTGACAAAGGGCCTTGCTGACTTGGGAAATACATCTATTGTCTGGTAACCGATCACATTCTGTAGTGCGAAATAACCTATTGTTTTAATTGTTCACAATGTATACATTGAATCTACTTTATACAATATATACGTTTGGCCAAGAGGCCCAATTACACGCAAATGAATTCTGTCTATCAGTTGTATAAGTCTCGACCTTCACGAAAATCTAGAGTATGTGTGTCGAAGCTATGTCAGAAGGGACGCAGCCAAATGTTCAATCTACATTGATGGCACACACTAGATAAGACCAATAACGTCAATATACACGAAATGATCATATTAAATCCATTGTACGATTTTCGACTACATCATCAGTATGCGTTTATGAATCGCCATCTAATAGTCGTGATTCCATGTGTTTCGCGAAACGATGAGTGTTTCCAGCGCCATGAGCACATGCGAAGGCACGGGAACACATGAAACAAGTCACAATAGGAATTGCATAGGATATAAATTCGATCACTGATGTGTACAAACTGGAAATGTCATCTACAATCTACTGCTACATATTTCTTAGGGATTTTCTTAGCACCTTTTGAGCAAACTCCTAATAATCCATGTACCCTACGGAAGCATATTATCCATATTGTGTACAAGACAACATGGGAACTGAGATTGCTCGTCGTCAAACCTCCAATATGTCTATAGTTACAGTGACACTTTGTAAGTAATAATATAAAGGCATACATCAGTGTATTATAATAATCTACGATGAAGTCGCAATTTATATTTGTGTTCAATATGACAGCCACAAGAAGTATCAACGTCAAACACACCCAAAGATGCCATAATATAAATTAACTAGAAATAACTGTTATATATGGCTTACAAAAGCGTGGCATGTGAATTTAGGTAAAGAATAACACACAATTAGTTACAAAGGATGTGGGAGGCAGCGAGCGGACGAGGATCATTATTTGTAACCAATATCCAGTTACACGTGCGTCATCAGACTTAGAATACATCAAGATAACAAAATATTCCGTGAACAGATTTGGAATACAGCCTGAACGTTAATATAAATCAATAAATGAACACAAATAAATTCAACACATACTGCATAAAGTCCATTTGTAATTCGTGAGGATTTTTAATTTCGTGCTTCGATATCAACGCTGCATTTAAACTGACACATATGCATAATTATTCGAACTACAAATGCTTTATGTACGATTTGATCGTTGTAGCCATTACATTCGTAATGCATGTGCTTAGAATTAATGCATGAGCTAAAGAATTTCATTGCGGAAAATAGTTCAGTAAAACTGCCAATTCGTTACAGAAAATCTACAGTTGAAACCATAGAGCTGAATTTTAAACCTCCCAAGAAGATCACCAGGTTCACTCTTGATCATAATAATGATCATCCGTCCCCGCATGGGTGGTCATTAAAAAGTTTTCACTTGCCCACTTACATAACAAAGACAAATATCGACGATAAGTACATTGAATAGGTACTTAGATTTCGAGTACTCTTGATAACTGTGTAGTCAATGTCGTGTTGCCAGAGTACCGTGAACATACAACGCTTTCAATCCATCTTATTGGTTATCACAAGAGTTAACAGATTCTTCTCACTACTTACGTACGTGATGCTTCACTGTCCTGCTCCAAACATAACAACTGATCAATCTGTGTTCCTAACAAATTACTTCACTCCCAAAATAACATAAGGAAACAGGAGATTCCTTAATCCTTAAAAATCTTTGTCTCTAAATATTCTTTGACATGGTTGCACTAAAATACACATTGCGGAATTGATTCAGGGAAAGAATATAGGTCACCAGCAACCTTGGTTTGACGTAAGAAGCAACTAAAGGTCATCTTATTCAAACTGAGCTGATCAATCCTTCAAACGACAAACACTCTGTTTACATGACAAGGTGCCGTTAGAGTCTTCAATTTAGTATGTGAATTTGTTCATATTTGAAATAGTTTCTCGTTTTATTTTGACATATGCAGTCTTTGGTTTTTGGTATGAAGTGAGATAAATATTACACGTCGACGCCAGGGAGTTTGGATTATCCGATGAATCAGATTCTGTTGGGCCATAAAGGCAAAATAGTGTTGAAAATTATGTGAATGGATCACTGAAAATCAGACATGACACCAACCTTTGCGAAAAGGGTAAGCATCTCCTGCCATACCGATAGCACCTGCCATTCACACAATTTGCGCAAACCACTCCTTGGTGATGGCTTGGAGTAGAGTGCCGAGTGTGACAACCAGATTCACCGTCGATATAACTTTCGAATCCTTTTCATAATCATCGCCTGGCCTGGTCTAATTGCTAATTGAGATACCGACACAGTAACGTGATATGTATGAAAGCATTTGCCTGTCCGTCCATATAATTAAACATTACTGACTTCCTTAATGCTTTCCTTTGTCTGATGAGTAACATAAAACTGAATAGAGACAGTTAAGAGTATTCTACCATGACATTGAAGAATGATTAATTCTAATTGGTTGAAAATACGTTTCCTTTTTGCTAAGGAAACCTCTTTTAGTATTTTAAGCCTTTTCACACAAAAAACGTGCATATGAATACATCGATAGCCTACATATTGATTCATAAAAATTGCCCGCCGATCGATCACCCATAGGGACCGTAGAACGTATCGTATTTCCTCTATAACACGCTGGGTCCTTAATACACGTCTCTAATACTCGCCAGAACAACGACTCTCGCAAAATTAACAGACCGCTTAGCGTCTAATAGAGGAAATATGGTATTCTGATATAGGATGTTTTGGGCGAGGATATGACGTTCTCCTTCGTAACTCTGACTGCTTTGATGATGAGATTACAAAATTAACGAATGCATATCTTTGCATACAAACAATAATGTTTATGAAACCGTGAGCTTCATGTACGATTGCGAACAGACTCGGAACAGGCAATTTCCTCACTGAATCAACCGACAATGAAAGTAAACTATATACATTATAAAAAAAGTGTTCTCAAAAGGTTTATTCAGGACAACATGTTGTTTGCAAACCTTTTTGTGATCGATATTTATTGCCATCTCCGTCAGGAGGGGATTTGCCTGTTTTGGGCAAGAGGGGATTTGAGCGTCCATCAGAAAACACACCTCCCTTCGAAAGGCCATGGAAACAATGTCCTGACATCACTGAAGTCACAAGGAACTTGAACATA